TGTGTGTGGGGGGGGGGCTGTTTCCCATTTAGAGTTGAGTACTCTACAGTTTCCAATATTCTCTGAATATTGTCTAGTGTGGGTGTCAATATTTTAAAGTTTCCTTTTTTTTTAAATTTTATTATTTCTCCTGAATTTTTTTAAATTTTGTTTTATAATTTAATTTAATTTTACATATCAGCCACAGATTTCCTTGTTCTCTCCCCCGATCTTCCCCCCAGCCCACTCCCCATTCCCATCTCCTCCATGGCAAAGACCTATTTTAAAGTTTTCATTACACAGGTCTTTTCAGACCTTGGGTTAGATTTATTCCAATATGTTTTTGTTTGTTTGATCTTGTTTTGTTTCTTTTGATGGTCTCAAAGAGGTTTTATCATTGTCATATAGAAAGGTTACTGACTTTTGTTTTTTAATTTTGTATTCTGCCAGTTGTCTGAAAGTGTTTATCAGCTCTGGGTGTATGCTTTTGGAATTCTTAGAGTCTCTCGTGTATAGATTTGCATGTTTTGTAAACTGAAATTCTTTGACTTCTTTCCTATTTTTGTCCCTCTTATTTCCTTTTATTGTCTTATTGCTCTACCTAAGACTTCACATATCATATTGAAGAAGAGTGAAAAAAAAAATAGACACTATTGGTTCAGATGTTAGTGGAAATGTTGGCAATAGGTTTGAAACACACATTTTTTTAGGACTTTAATATGAAAGAATGCTGGATTTTGTGAATAACTATTTCTCTGTCTACTAACATGACCATGTGATTTCTGTCCTTTAATCTATTTATGGTCTTTATAACAATAATTGATTCATCTATATTGAACCCATCTCTGCATCTCTGTAATAAGCCTGTCTTGTTCGAGGCGAATGACCTTTTTGATGTGTTCTTGAATTCTGTTTGCAAGTATTTGTTGTATTATGTTTAGGCGGACAACTGTTCTCTAGTTCTTTTCTTTCCTTTTCCCTCCCTCCCTTCCTTCCTTCTTTTTGTATATGTATTTACTTTGGATATCAGGGTAATAATATCTTCACATGAAATAGGGGTTTTATATTAATCTTTCCTTTTTATATAGTTTGAGAAAAATTGATGTTAGTTTTTCTTTAAAGGTCTGGTGAAATTCCCTGGTGATTTTTATCAGTTGTAAACATTTTAATTACAACTTCACTCTTACTGCTTTTTATAGATCTTTTTAAATTATTTATCTTATCTTAATTTTTGTATTGTATTTATATCTAGAAATGTATTCATTTCTTTTAGGTTTTATATTGAGTGGAATATATTCCAACCCAATAATTTTGTGAATTTTGCTGATGTCTATTGTAGTGGGTCCCCTTTCATCTCTACTTCTATTAATTTGGGTCTGTCCTCTGCTTGTGGTTAATTTGGTTAGGGGTTTGTCAATCTTGTTTTTCTTTTCCAAACATCAACCCTTTGTTCATTGATCCTTTGCTCTATTTATTTTGTTTGTTTATGTTTCATCAGTTTCTGCACTGATCATGATGATTGCTTTGCATCTACTGAATTCTTCTTTGCCCAGGGCCCAAAGGTATACCATTATATATTTCAGATCTCTCTGATTTCTCCTTTTTTCTTTATCTTTTTTGTTTTTTGGATAATAATATATCATATTTTCCTACAATTTTCCCCTACCATTTTCTCCCTCTTAACACATCCATGTATCTCCCTTGTTCTTTTTCAAATTCGTGGCCTCTTTTCTCATTAATTGTTTTTTGTATGCATATATATTTATATACATGTTCCTTAATATAACCTGTTCTGTTAGTATGTGTTCAGGGATTAATATAGGCATGTAGGACTTCTTTCTTTATATCTCATAGAATTAGATAAGATATATTTTCAACCTGTTGTCTTTTTTAAAAAGTACTCAATTTAATATTCATATTTGCTATGTTGTTAAAGTTTCTATTGCTGTGGTAAAACACTATCACCCAAAGCAAGTTGGGGAGGAAAGAGTTTATTTCATTTTATACTTCCAGGTAGCAGTTCATCCCTGAGATAAATTAAGTCCAAACTCAAGGCAGGAACCTGGAGATAGAAGCTGATTCAGTGGCCATGGGAAAGTACAGCTTATTGACTTGTTCCTCATGGCTTGCTCAGCCTGGTTTTTAATATCATCCAGGACTACTAGCCCAAGAGTGGCACTACCTACAATGGATTGGGCCCTCCCTTATCAATCATCATTCAAGAAGATGTACCACAGGCCAATTTTGTGTTAGTGCTAGTCTCCCCTATCCCCCACACCACTTTCCCCTCTGAACTTTCTTTAAAAAAACAAAAAAGTACCCATTGAGTGAATACATTTAGTGCTACCTCTATATTCATGGGTATAGGACTGTCTACTGAACATTGGTAGCTTCTCAGGAACCATATCCCAGAAGAAAACAGACTTTCCCTTTTCTAGCAGCCATCAGTTGCTAATAGCCTCTCAGCTAGGAATAGAACTTCATCAGCTCCCTCACCATCTATACTGAGAATTGGGCTGGCTTTACCTCGTGCAGGTCTTTTGCATAAGTTCCAGCTTTTGTGAATTCAGGTGTACAACTCTGCTGTAATGTCTGGCAACTACTGTTTTTCTGCATGTGTCTAGTCCTTTTGTGTCCTTAAGGTGGCGTCATTCAGTCTCTTCTTTTATTGTCACATTGACCAGTTAGTTGTCTCTATTAATCTCCTACTGAAAAACAAACTTTCTCTGATGATTGTGGAGAGATGTGCCAATCTATAGATGTAAAGATAAGAACTGGGAGGATTACCATGTCCATTTAGCAGAAAAATAATACTAGATTGGTTACCCTTAAGGCTCGTGCTAAGTTGACCATGTTTTGTTTGTTTGTTTGTTTGTTTGTTTGTTTGTTTGTTTGTTTGAACCCAATTTATGGTGCCAGATATGGGTTCTATCTTGTGGCATGGACTTTAAATTCAATCAGAATATCATTCCTATAAGAATGTGAACATTTCCTTTTATGCTTCTGCAATACCAATCTAATCAGACATTGAATACACAGAACTGTGCTGTGTTCCTGTGTTGGTATTAATATCTTCGAATATACAGTGAAAGCCTTAACATAAAGTAGTACTGCAACCTATCTAGTCTTTGATTCTTGGCCACTTCAGAAGTGTCAGGTACCCATTCCATCTTATGGAATGGATCTTAAATCCAATCAAACAATGATTGGTTACTCCCATAATATTTGTGCCACTATTATACCAGTATATCATGCAGACAGGTCCTGTGTGATTTGTAACACTTATAGCTACATGTTATTAATGATTACCTTTCTCTTCTGTTAGAGTGTAAAGTACCTTCCAGCACCACGAACACTATTCATTAGAGATAAAACTACTATCTAGGCACCAGCTAGACATTTCCCTGTTCAATGATATGTGTTGTCTTCAGCAATAGGGCCTTACCATCAAGTTGTGGAGAATAATTAAACCTTTGGCAATAGTCTGTGATATTTGGTAGTGGGGGTGGGTTACATGGGGCCCCTTTGGCCAATGAATGAACAAAATGTAACCCATTCCTAACGCTGGAGGTTTTACTTCATGGCATAAGATGTCTAATTGGAATATAGGTTGCCCTAATGGTGACTCCATTTAAACTTCTTTCATATATGAATATATGTCAGGAAACTTCCACAGTAGTAGGTTTTTTTTTTTTTTTTTTTTGGTTTTTCGAGACAGGGTTTCTCTGCGTAGCTTTGTGCCTTTTCTGGAGCTCACTTGGTAGCCCAGGCTGGCCTCGAACTCACAGAGATCCGCCTGCCTCTGCCTCCTGAGTGCTGGGATTAAAGGCGTGCGCCACCACCGCCCGGCTCCATATAATTTTTAAAAGGCTTTTAAGTGTTAGTTGTTCCTCTCCTTATTCCCTCCTTTGCCTTGCCCTTCCATCCCTCTCCACATTTAATCCTCCTAGTCTAGTTTCCCATTTATGTCTCTATTTCCCCTTCCATGGGAGATCTTCTGGTCCCTTACAGTACCTAACTTATGTGGTTATTTGGATTGTAGCACACACATCTAAAGCTTAACAATTAGCATCCACATATGAGAAAAAACACAATATTTGTTACCTCACTTGGAATGATTTTTCTAGCTCGATTTTCCTGTGAATTTATAATTTCATTTTTCTTAACAGCTGAGTAATATTCCATTGTGTAAATGGACTATATTTTTCTTATCCATTCCTATTTTAGTGGAAATCTAGACTGTTTCCAGTTTCTGGCAATTATGAATAGACCAGCAATGATCATTTATGAGCAAGTATTTCTGTAGTAAAATACAACATTCTAAGGCTCATAGATCCAAGCTCCTCCACAGTTTTCTGGCTTAGTTCCAAAGGTCTAGAGACCACATAGTCTGATTTATCCTGGTACTAGTCCCACTTCTGAGTACCAGTTTTCTGTTTTAGTTACTTTTCTCATTGTTGTGACAAAATACTGACAAGAAGTAATCACATGGGAAGAAGGGTTGATTTTGGCTCACAGACTAATGTAGTCCATCATGTTACTAATATAGTCCATCATGTCGGGAAATCAAGGTCCTTGAAACTGACCAGAAACCACAGAAATAGAAATTTTTGAACTCAGCTTTTTTATCTTTTTTAAATTTTCTCTACCCATGTGATAGTGCCAGTCAAAGTGCACCCACATAGATACACCAAAGCAGTGTTTCATTAGTGCCCCCAATGATTTCTTGATCCAGTCATTGTGACAATTGAAATTAATTTGACATCTCCAACGTTCTTTTTCACAACTTCCCCATATTGCAATTGAGAGTAAAATGGTAGTTCCTTCAAAGGGACCAATATACCTAAGCATTTCCAGGTTTTCTCTTTCCCTTCTAGAACTTGAAGTACTATTATTTTATCTTAAAACTTTTAGTTTCAAGATAAATAGAAAATGGCATATAAGATTTTTTAGAGTTGTTTAGATGAATGTCAGTGGCATTTGTTATATGGGTCTTATAATTGTGTTAATTTTCTCTTTAGGAATGTTGTCTCTGCAATTTGAGAGGAGGTGCTCTTAAGCAGACTAAAAACAATAAGTAAGTAATACATTGACTGTGTTGAATTTCATCATTTCTTTTTCTTCTCTTTAAGTTCTGTGTGATAGTTTGCTTTGCCCCTCTCCCTACCTGTGATTTATCTCACAGATATTGTTCTCTGGACCTAGGGTTAAAATTCTTCCTCAGAGACTAAAGCTAACTGGATGTAATATAGGACTTGCCTCTATTCTGTGCTTTTTATGTAACGACAGTTCTTATTTTATGAACAGGTTTCTCCTTTTTTGTCTTTCTTCTCACCTTTTTCTCCTCGCCTTCCTTCACCCTCTACTTCAGCAGTACTCCATTCATAGTTAATTGAGCTATTCTTGTGCTCTCACTTCCTCTTTATTTTTTAGTAAGTTGGTAGAACTTAGCTTCTGTGCGGCAAGTGGTCCTGCCTAGCTCATAGTACTGGAATTGGGACTCCTGATGCATAATGTTTTGATGACATTAACATAATTTTGTATGTATGCACGGATTGTTTGGTTGCTTGGAAAGAAGAATAAAAGCATTTATCATGCATGCATTGGTAAAGTGTTGTCTAAGAGCCAATACTTTTGCTTGATTTTGGATCGTCTTTCATAAGCTTATCTAGTAAGACTGGCATTTTCCAGCAGAGTTGTCACTAAACTTTCAATGTTGTAGACAGGCTTAGATGCTTCCTATAAAAGCATATATCATGAGAAATTATCTTCTTAATAGTATTTATTCTAGAATGCTAGTTTTATTTCAGTGTGGAAGAATGCTCTTGTAGGGTTAATGGTTGTCCTTTCTTCCTATGATCTTAGGATCTTAGGATGAATTATGACATTCATTGTTTAAGTGAAGTAAATAAGCCTACTGGTGCAGTCCTTTAATCCCTCTACTTGGGAGTCAGAAGCAGGTGTATCTCTTTGTGAGTTTGAGACCAGCCTGATCTACATAGTGAGTTCCAGGACAGGCAGGACTTGTCTTGGAAAGTAAAACAAAATGAAGAAGCTTAGGCTTCAACATAGGTTGATATATTTGATAATGCAAATATTCATGATTCTTGAATCTCTTAAGTCCTTATATTTCCTTTGAGGTATAATGCTTAAGAGATACTGCATAATATTAATAACAAATTTATGCAAATTTAGAATGTGAAAGGATGCTCTAATGTTTTTAGTAGGAGATCAGGAAACAAGCTAACTTTCATTTCTCTTCAGCGGTACATTCCTTTGGTTGCAGTAATATTGCAATGAGGAAAAATATTTAAAGACTAAACCAGTTTTAATTTGTATAGAAAATATTTATATTTGAACTAATTTGCCTCAGAACATGTGGTATATATCATTTTTATATGAAAACATGATTTATAGTTAATTGAACTAGTCTTTTGTCATGTATTAGCCTAAATATATTACACATGTAGTATCAAATGGTAACAAAAACCTTCATTTCAGTATTCTTAGACATTTTTGAATGTACATGACCATGTTATAGGACTTTGCCTTTACCTAGTTCGTTTTGTGTATGTGTCTGTATCTTAGTGAGTATACAGCTCATGAAAGGCAGAAGAGAACAGTAGATCCTCTGGTACTGGAGTTTCAGGCAATTGTGAGCTGCCTTCTAGGTGCTGGGATTTACTAAGGTTCATTGCAAGAACTACTGAGCCATCTCTCTAGCCCCCTTTACTAGTTATTGATGTCAGAGTGTTGGGCAGATGTGCTAAATATACCCAGTTGTCATTAAAGAGGTTTAAAAGTCCATAACTTACTTGCAGTGGGATTAAGTTTTTCACTTCATTTCTTTTGTATGCCAGATTGTCACCACCAAATTGAAGTCTGTAAGTTTAGGGAACTTGTTTATTTTTAATGTCTCCTTTCCTGTAGGTGGGCCCATGTCATATGTGCTGTTGCAGTCCCAGAAGTTCGATTCACTAATGTCCCAGAAAGGACACAAATAGATGTAGGCAGAATACCTTTACAGAGGTTAAAATTGGTGAGTGGTAAGATTTTTTTTTTAATTCATATATTAATATTAATTTCAAGTTCTGAATTTGTCTGTTAATTATGTTTCCAAGATAATATATCCAATAGCTTCATTTTATTCTACCTATGTTTTCCTCTCTCCTGAATATATTTATTCTCAAATTCTTCCCTAGTATATTATAAGTCTCCATAACTGCCATCATTTTGTATGTGAAGTATGGGAAAGGGATTAATAAATTTCCTGGATTGATATGAGTTTATAAACATTAGGCTCTCTGAGATTGTTCAGTAATGCCCCAAACTGCTCAACACTATTGAAGTTGCCTACTATTCTTTTCTCTTTACTCAGTTGGGTTTCTGTTGGTGTAGCAATCCAACCCAATTTTATCATCTCTTTGCCAAGAAGAGCTTTATAGATAAATGCAGAATCTGTTTTTAATTACAGGCTTTTGTTATTCACCTGTAGAGACTCTAGATGCTTAACATGTCAAACTCTGACCTGTTACCTTTCTAACCTATCAGAAACTTTCATAAAAGTGTCCTCACTGGTTTGCCCTTTTTTTTTTAATTTTCATTTCTGTGTCTCACAGAATTAGTTTAGGCCTCTGTTTTGTATATTTGCTAAACACACAAGCTTAATGTGCTGGCGGAGTTTCCTAGAATCTTCAGTCTCTGTCATTATTAACTCATAATTTCTCCACTATGGAACACTTCAAGCATTGTCACTGAGACAAGTTGCTTATTTCTTACAACTTTCCCACAAAGAGACCCTTTCTTTGGAATTTACTCTACTGTCCTTTGTTCATAGAAAGGGTAAGTGAACACTATTTCGCATTATATTACTACCAACTGTTTTACTTTAAGAGGAAATATGTGATCAGCTGTTAACTAATGAGTAGTATGATTAAGATACAAAAAGTAGGGCTACAGAGATGGCACATTATTTAAGAGCAATCCACACCCACCTCTCTTCCTTTTCATATAGATGGGAAATATTTAGATATCAGTTTATTTCACCAATTATCACCTTTTTTGCCAAATGTTGTATGCTTTTTAAATAAACCACATTTTTTAACTTTCTTTTTATACTGTGTGTCTTTCACATAATGCATCTTGATCCCATTCATTTCTCCATTCCTTCATCCCTGCAAACCCTCCCCCACAAATAAAAGAAAATGTAAGAGACAACAAAGAAGGGGAAAAAATTTAAAATCTTACCATAGAAGCTGCAGTGTGACACAGTGAATCATGTAGTAAATCCCTTTGTCCATATATCTTTACTTGCAAGTGCTCATTGCAAAGAATCATTGGTCTAGTTTGAGGCCTAGTTTCAAGTACACTATTGATGCTAGGCCCTCACTGGGACTCTTCTTGGATATCTATTGTTGTCCTGTGCTGTGGAGATCCTGCAGCTTTGGATCTGTAAGTTAGGTCCCTCCATGTGCTCCAGCTGATCATAAATGGGTTGGATGTTTGGGCAGGCCAAGTCATAACCCTGGTTCTGGTCCTGGGTAGCTGCAGTGTTAATCAGCCCACAGTTCTCCCCTGTTCTCACCACCAGGGTGAGCTTTCCAGCACTACCCTGTTTAATTCACTCCTTGAAGCATTGAGTGAGGGGTGGGGCCAGTTCTGCTTTCACACCCGCCCATAGGTTCAGCTCTCCCACACCATCAGGGCCAGCTTCACTGTGTTGCCCAGGCAAGGTACAGAGTTACTGTCCTGAGTACTGAAGCTGGTAAGGGGCAAAGACAGCTCTCCTGCTCCCACGACCCCAGGACCAACTCCTCCACCTGTCCAGGTGTGGATGGGTGGGAAGTGGGGGGGGGTTGCATCTGTCCTGTGCCCATGCCACCACATGTCAGATGAGTAATGGGGACAGCCTTCCCCCACCCAACATTGGGACTGGGTTACCCACACTTCTGACAACAGGGCTGGCTCTATTTTGTTGCCAGGGTAAGGTGCAGGGCCTGCTTTCCCAAGTATTGCAGCTATACTACAGTTCTTAACCTTTAGCATCTTCTATTCTATATTAGGATTTCTCAGTCTTAGCACTTTGGATATTTTACAGAAGATAATTGTTTGTTGAGGAGATCATCATGTGCATTACAGTATTCCAGCATCCTGGATCAGGTAGACACTGCCAGTATTCTCTTATGCAAAATCACCCCCATTTGAGACATAATGAGAAGATTTTCCTTTTGGAAATTCTTAGGAAGAAATATCTTGTTTTGACAGACCTAAATTACAGACTAGAGAGCAGTTATCCTTAAACTGTTTAAAAAAAAAATAGGCCTAAATAATTTTTACAGCTCTAATTTTTTTTTTATTTCTTGATAATGTAAGAAAGTTTTATGGCACATATGCTACAATTATTATTTACAATTTGATTTTGTATCTTAAGTAAATTATTTATGCTTAGAGAAGTTAATAGTCTATAAATGCTAAGAACATTTTACTGAAGTTTAAAATGCTATGGTATGTATGATTGTACACATGATTAAAATGTGTATTGAATGAATAAAAGGCAACAACTTGTTATTTGTTTCTGGCTTAAAATAATTGTAACTAGGAAAGTGTGATCAGATAATAACAAATAGTTTGAGTCTTTTAGAGGGTTTCTCTTTTAATTCACATATACCTCTGCACACTCCACTAGAGTAAGGCACCATTTTACTTATTTTCATCCTGGAGGAGATAAAGTTTATGAAGGAGTGATGTGCCATTCTTCCCATTCATTTAATCAGTATGGGATTCTTGGATACTTGGGTTCCCAAGCCCTCTAGAAAAATACAGACAATTGCCACTCACTGCTCTTTGTTGCCAACCATAACTAGATGGTTAAATTGTATTATTAAAGAAAACATGTCCTAGAGTGACAGGACACAGAGAAATCAAGCTGGAACATGAGTTGAAGCATCCTTCTTGCTGCTTAGCCTCATAATGCCAGAAGATGGTAACCAAGACCAATGGCTAGTTCCTGTATTGCTTTGGGGGCTTAATATTTTATGTCCTTATTCAGACAGAATTGTCATCAGCAGCTTTACTCAGCTGTGGACCCCAGACACAGCACTACTTACCAACCAGGGAAAATATAACTGCAATAGTATTTCAGGTATGAGATGATCTTTAAGCTCTTGAGCTTTCAGCAGCTGTAATGATTTTGAAGGCATAAATGGGTTTATAAGGCCCCAGGCCTCCCTAAATATTATAATCAGTTAATGGATGGTAGGAGAGGAAGGAACATTTAATTAAAATGTTCTACCTATGACATTTGGAAACACCTTTGTATAATTTTTTGTATAGAGCGCTTTGTGAAAGATATAAAATAGGATGTGTCTGGGGTCCACAGCTGATTGAAGTTGCTGATGACAATTCTGTCTGAATAAGGACATCAGGTACTAAGCCCCCCAATCAATACAGGCACTTGCCACTGGTCTTGGTTAGCATCTTCTGGCATATATAAGATAGGATATAAGAAAATTCCTTACCTGAGTAGGTTTTCCCCATACAAGAAAATGGGTAGTTTTCATAAAAAGAGACAAGAAATGGGAAAGAAGCTTTTTAATTTTCATCCTAAAGTAGTTACTCCTGTCCACTTTGCTTGGTGATGTCACAGCTGTATCTTCTATTCATTGTATCACTAAATAGACAATAATGGTGACACTAGATTTATTTTAGAGCATTCTATTTCTGTTGCTAGTTTATAACATTTTAGTAATTTGTTAACCTTTTAAACTAAACTGTCTTTTGTAAACACATTGTTTGTGGTGGGTTTCTTTCCAAGGTTTACATTTTAAAAACTTTTTGGCAGTATTTTACTAGTGTGCATGTGTGTGAGGGGCTGGGGAGTGTTTTCAGGGTTTTGCTATGAAGTACTAGCTGACCTTGAATACTCTGTGTAGCTGATACTGGCTTGACACTCAAACCAGTTCTCTTGCCTCAGCCGCTCAAGTGTAATGATTACAACAATGTACCACTGTGCCTGCCTAATGTTTCACCTCTTGTTGAAAAAGGATTTCGTACGCCGGGCAGTGGTGGCGCACGCCTTTAATCCCAGCACTTGGGAGGCAGAGGCAGGCGGATCTCCGTGAGTTCGAGGCCAGCCTGGGCTACCAAGTGAGTTTCAGGAAAGGCGCAAAGCTACACAGAGAAACCCTGTCTCGAGAAAAACAAAAAAACAAAAAAAGAAAGAAAAAAGAAAAAGGATTTCGCTTTGTAGTTTAGGCTACCCTTGAGCTTGAAATTCTACTGCTTCAGCTTTTTAGCTGCTGGGAATACAGCTGCGTACCTCTATACTTAGCTCAATATTTAACTTTTGTGCAATCATTACACAACTTATTAAAGTAGTTGCTTTCCATGTTAAAACATACTATATTTAGTTGCTTTCCATGTTAAAACATACTATATTTATGTTACTACGTACATGCAGTTTGTTGACATGAGGCTTTCTGTTAAGGAATGGCAAAAGTTACCTGAATGGGCTTAGAGTAATCATGTCCAAAAAGACTGAGCTACTTTCCAGCTTGGAATTCTCTCAACTGCCCATGTAGGTTTTGAATCCTAAAGCTTCCTGGGTGATAGAATTATAGGTATGTGCCACCATAACCATGTCTTTATTTTCAGTGCAAATTTTGGATTGCCTATTATGTTTCCTACCCACTCATGTAGAATAAACTCAATAATTTCTTAATGACTTTTCCCACATGGGAACGGTGATCATTGTGTCAGTTCTTATCTTAGACAACTCTTTCTCTTGGCACAGCAATCTTTTCTGATCAATCAGGTCAAATGACAAAACTTTTAAATCTGACATAAGGAGAATGAAGAGGCTGCTGGTGACATGAGAGCGCTCAAGGAAAGCAGTTGCTCAAGGGATCTGGTTAATATCTTTGGTACTTGGGTATGGGGTTGTGCTGGAGTGTGGTGTAATTTTTTAATCTTTCAGATTCATTTCCTCTTCTTCCTTTCTATGTTCTTTTCTTTTCTAATCACAACTAGAAAAGAAGCAGA